CCCCCCCGTAAATTGCAAAGAAGCTTTGTCTTAAACCTTGGAAAAATATTGCATTAAAATTTGTGGTCATTTAACAGTGGATTTTGTTCGCTGGCTTTGTGCTGTATCTATGGATGAGCTGCTGTCTGCTACCCACCCTCGAATGTTTAGTCTGCAGAAGATAGTAGAGATTTCTTACTACAACATGGGCCGGATAAGGCTACAGTGGTCTAGAATCTGGGAAGTTATTGGAGATCATTTTAATAAGGTATCCCTGTTTATGATTATGCTGCATACTCCTTGAATTACAATTAAATTTTATTTAGAGATTTGTTGGAAAAACATGTTCTTATCTGAATGATACTGCTTTTTTTGTCCTTCTGTATAAGTAGCTTAAAACACAATAAAAATTGTAAATATGGAAAGGCCTGCAAGAAGGCAGAGGTATGCAATATAATAAATGTAAAAGCAGGAGTATACATTAAGTTATTTATTATCACCTGGGTCTAGAACTGGCTGCCGCTTGTTATGTGTTGTAATTTTTTGGGGGTGTTTTATGAAGCTTGGGATAAGAGTTTATTTTCTATTCAAGTCTAAATTGACTATTTATCAGGTGAATGTTTGACATGCATTTTTAATACAGCTTGTTGAATTCTTTCTAGACAGCTTGCTTATTTTTAGAAAGTTTTAAATGCTAGGATATATAATATAGAAAATAACTGGAATTGGTTAAGGATTATTAGGATTATTGAGTTGCTTTAAGAATGTGGTTTATGGAATTGGCTACTGTTTAGTTTTGTTAATTTCCTAGTACTGCTTAGTTCTCCATTATCAAATATGCAAGCTTACTATGCATTTCTATTCTACATTGTCAGGTTGGCTGCAATCCCAATGAAGATGTAGCTATTTTTGCAGTAGACTCCTTAAGGCAGTTATCAATGAAGTTCTTAGAAAAAGGAGAACTTGCTAATTTCCGATTCCAGAAGGATTTCCTAAGACCATTTGAACATATCATGAAGAGAAACAGGTAATAACATACAGTTAGCTAAGTCACCTGGGATCATAAGCACTGACTTGTGCAATTAATGTTTCAAATTCCTTTTGTAAAATCAGTTGCTGGAGAATTATACTATTCTAATTGATTATGTAATTTAGTTTAAACAATTATTGTTTATTACCTTAACTTAGGTCTCCTACTATTCGGGACATGGTTGTGCGTTGTATTGCACAGATGGTCAATTCCCAGGCTGCTAACATTCGCTCTGGCTGGAAAAACATTTTTTCAGTGTTTCATCTGGCAGCCTCAGATCAGGATGAAAGTATAGTGGAACTTGCATTCCAGACTACAGGACACATTGTCAGTGAGTATTGCCCGTATTCAGACGTTACGAAAGTGTATCTGACTCCAGAGACTGAGAAGCTTTGTTTATCGGTTGGCTCTACAGCCTACATAGTAAAGACTGCTTCATGCTTTAGAACCAGTGTTTTACATTTACTCTGGGAGAGTACTTAGGAAAATAATAAGATTATAGTTACCTGATGTCTTTTATACTTCTTAAAAAAAAAAAAAAAAAGAGTATCTATTTGTAGCAATCTGTAGTAAAAAAAAGTTAAGGCTTAGATAATTTTGCTTAATGTGTATGTTTTCATTTAAGTCAAGAATTTCCCCCTGCTTCCTCCCCCCAGAAAAAAAATTGTGTAATCATTTTACTATTATGTTGTTTGCTTATCTTTTTCTTTGTTTCTGAATTGTGCTTGTCTGTGGCCCTGTTTAGGAGAAATTGTTGAGCTGGGTGGCACTATGATTTAATTTACCCCACTCCCCTCCCTTCCCATTCTAATCTAGATCTCAGGCTTTAAGTGCCATAAAAGGATCTCTTTATTCTTTCTCAATCTCTTCAAATTCCTAAAACTTTTTCAGCGTTGATGAAGAATGTAGTTTTTTTCTCAGAAGTGGCTATTTAAAATCAAGGAAACAGGACTTCCCATATTGCTGAGGGAAGTCCTTTTGTAGATGTAACTCTGTGCTTTATTTAGCCCTCTTAAGCTCTGATCAAACAGACTAGTGTTAAGCAGTAAGCCTGTTGCTCTGTTCTTGCTTAACTGTTAAATTTCCCTCCTTTAGACTAGATGCTACCTTGATTTATTTTAGGCACTTACTTTGTCAAAATAGACTGCCCTCTAGGTAATTTTTATTTATTTATTTATTAAGCCTTCATTTATTAGTTTTTATTGCTACTCAGCATTTGACAGCACTGATCAATGAACTGGTCTCTCATGACTTCTGTTAGAATCAGTTCATATTAGAATTAATAGATTTTAAAGCATGACTTTTTTTTTTTTCTTCTGTTTACACTTTCCTCACAGCAATTGTGTTTGAAAAACACTTCCCAGCAACCATAGATTCTTTCCAGGATGCAGTGAAGTGCTTGTCTGAATTTGCCTGCAATGCAGCATTTCCAGATACCAGTATGGAAGCTATCCGCCTCATTCGCCACTGTGCAAAATATGTATCTGACAGACCTCAGGTATAGTCTGTATTAACTATACTATAAGTGCTTTAATCAACAGTGCTTTTATAAAGAAAAAAATACTCATGCAAACCTTATTGGCTTCCCTTCTTTTATTCCCCCCTGGCCTGTCCCCATCCACCCAGTTCAGCTGATGGCTAACTTTCCTCTGAGAGCTGCTGGAAATCAGCCTGTCTCAGGATCTGCTCTCTAACTGAGAAATGTTATAAAGAATGGATAATGGCTTAAGCAAAATGCTTGATATCCTCAAAATGTTGTGGTAGATCCTCACTTTCAGTGCTGTCTCTATGAAAAAAGAGTAAGAGACTCAGACTGAACTGCAAGCAAAAAAATGATGCTTGAATATATCATCTTGGTTTTAGTTTATTTTTCATAATATACTAAGCATTACTTTGAAAAACACTTCACCTTTTCAGGATTATTATTTTGATTGCCAACTCACCTGAGGTATCAGGGTGCAATACTAGTACAGCAGAGATTGTTATTTAAACTCCAACCTGTGTTTTATTTTGAAGAATCTAACTTACAACTCTGTATACCCTTGTGTTTTCTTCTAAAGGCATTCAGGGAATACACAAGTGATGATATGAATGTAGCTCCTGAAGACAGAGTGTGGGTGCGAGGATGGTTCCCAATTCTGTTTGAGTTGTCCTGTATCATCAATAGATGCAAATTAGATGTAAGAACCAGGTAACAATCAGTATTTGTAATTCAAATTTTAAAAGGCTTACTTTACAGCTTTAAAATAGAAACATCTGTCTTAGTAAACATAACAGATGTAAAATGACTTACGTATTTAATTTAGGTGATATCACTGTGGGAACACCAGACTTTTTAAAAACACCTTTTAAATAGATACTGGAATGTAGAAATTAAGTCTGTGTTCTTTACATATGAGATTTTTATCTTCCTTTATAATAAATAATGAAGTTACTTGCTTGTGATTGCATTGTGTTAAATAGGTAAGTATTACATTTCCTGAAAGCTAAATATCCAAGTAGTGCCTGTTTAGGATAAATAGCCATGAAATCACCAAGATAAGAATATTTAGATAGTTAATTTGAAAATAAATTAAAGCATAAGTAAATTAAAATATAGTGACTGTTTTCCATTTGTTATAGAACCTATAAACTATTTAAAACAGCTCAGCTCAACTTAGTCAGATGTAGTGGAGACAGTTTATGCATAGAACACAGTAAAATGTAAAAGTCAACTTTTAACTTGCCTAACATATAACAAGCAAGCATTATTTAATGTGGAAGGTCAACTCTAAATGGTTAATATGCATTAAATCCACGTCCCCCTCTCTTTTGACATAAGATATTACATTGGATTAATATCCAAATCTGTATTTTTCCAGTAGCAAGACTAATCCTCTCTATTCAATAATAAATATAAATGTATGATGTTTGATTCCTTGATCTATGCCCCTGTTCCTTATTCCATTTTAGTCATTTGTCATAGTTGACTTGGGTAAGCCTGGTGTCAAATTTCCAATTTTGCTCTGTTTAATAAAAATATATAAAATGCTCCATGCAATGAGTAGGTTTTTTGTTGGTGGACTCCAACAGCAAAATTCTATTGGCATCTTTTTTTTGTTTTAATTAAAACGCATGACCCCAGTTCTGCCTGCGTTCCTGTGTCTTGATCTTCTACTTAATTTTAGTGTATTAGTTTGATTGATCCACATCAGATCAATGTTTAGTGTTCTTAACAGTATTTGAGTTTGGTTTTGCTGTTGGGGTTGGACATATTTGAACTAGTGCAGGTCTTTTTGTAACTCTTGATATATGTTGTTCTTTCTGTCTTTTCAGGGGCTTAACAGTAATGTTTGAAATAATGAAGACATATGGACATACTTATGAAAAACACTGGTGGCAAGATTTGTTTCGAATTGTCTTCAGGATATTTGACAACATGAAACTGCCAGAACAGCAGACTGAGGTGAAAAAAGTGGGGCAAGATAATTTACATGAGATATATATTTACAGTAGAAAATCTGCTTAGTAATATAACTTAACAAATAACGTAAGGCAAACCTCAAAACTTGCATGGTTGACCTGTGGTTTTAGTAAAACCTGTGGTTTTATTTTGTTTTATTAGCATTCTGTTGGAGGTATTGTCGCTTTTCTTCTTTTTTTGAACCATGTATGTAAAATATCTGGTAGTTTACACTATGAACAATAGAAGAATAGCATAAAATGCCTAGTATCTAGGGTTTGTAAGAAGAACTGCAGCTTTTACACATGATGCCTGGAATCTGAGACAGACATAATTTCATGGCAACGTGCTCAATGGAACAAGGCTTGTAATCAGCAAGTCACAGTTAGAAGAAATAAGTTCTGCTAGTTCAAAACCTTTTGATGACTAGTGAAAAAAAAAAACCCAAAACAAACAAACCCACAAAAACCAGCAGCCTTTCACTGCACCCCTTTGACCAGCTAAACCAGGACCAGGTACTGTCCTGACAAGGAAGTGAAACAGAAATGGACTTACTAAAGTAAATTATGTGTAAATGATAAATCAGAAGTTTGATCAAAAATATCAACTACCATTTGGCAGGCTCTGTCTGACTATTTGTAGAAGGATGTATCTCACTTTCTAAATTTTTATTCCTGGGAAAATATTTGGAAGAAACACAGAAAAGTAGCTTGGTGTTAAACTGTTGAGCTAGGGTTAGACACAAAGTTTAATGTCAAACTCAGTATCTCATGATGGTAAGTGCTTTGTCAATCCCATAATCTGGTCTCCAAGAATAGTTGGTTGTCCGTTTCTGTAGTTTTTTTAAACTTGCTAGATAGCAAAGTAAAAGTTGGAGCTCCAAGTTTTGGGGATTTTGAGATACAGAAGGGAATTCCATGTCACTACAAAGGAATTGAAATTGAGTAAGTACATTTATCCATCTGTCTGTGGGGATGTGTATCCTAAAAGTTTCACCTTGAATGAAGTTGTAACTTTTTTTTTTTTCCCCCCCCATCCTAGAAAGCTGAATGGATGACAACTACTTGCAACCATGCACTTTATGCGATATGTGATGTATTCACACAGTATTTAGAAGTACTTAGTGATGTTCTTTTGGATGATATATTTGCACAGCTGTACTGGTGTGTGCAGCAAGGTAGGACTGTACCAAATTACGTTAAACAATGTTAACATTTTACTGTGGTGAATGTGAATAAACAAATATACTGCTTGTCTTTTCCAGACAATGAACAACTGGCACGGTCTGGTACAAACTGTTTGGAGAATGTTGTCATCCTAAATGGTGAAAAATTTACCCTAGAAATCTGGGATAAAACTTGTACTTGTATGCTGGATATTTTCAAAACTACAATCCCTCATGCGTAAGACGACTGTTAATATTCATAGATGACTTACTGATCACAAACTGTTAGATGTCTAATAGGTGGGGTGAACCAAAAGCTGTTATGTGTGGACTAAATAGAAGCAGACTTTCTTGGAGAATAATGATAAATTAGGTGCTAGATATGTTACTTTGGTGTTGTAAATTACAAACTATTAAAAACTAGAAATACTATATTGGAGATAAGCAAAACAAACAACCCTCTATAACTTGATTCAGTTTTAAAATGTTGGATTTTTTGAGAAGTACTGTATGATTTTTTTTTTTTTTTTGGCCATTTTCTTTTTGTAATAGGAGAATGCTGTTGATAGGCAGACTTTGCAATCTGTCATTACACGTGAAGTTTTTTCCACAAAATACTAAGATATTGTAACAGTCTTACAGATTTAAGTCTCTGTGGTTGATGGTTAAGTTCCATCATATGTTCCTATGAATTCCAGTCTTTTTATGAAAATTATCCTTGCTTATTGTCTATCCCTTCATGTTATAACTCTGTGTGAAGATTCTTGGAACAAGGCTGTGCTATTCTGAGTAGTGTGTTACACATACACATCATAGAGCAGGAGTAACAAGAAATCACATCCAGCATTAGACCAAAGATAAGATTTTTTTCTTTTCCCCCCTGCCCTACCAACAAGGAGAGGAAATGCTGCTTGTTTTCAAATCTGATAAGTCTTCTTGTTGAACTGTTGTATTATTACTTGTCCTATGTCTGTCAGCTTGTTCATGGCGTTTTGCTTCTGGGTATCACCTAGTTCAGGCCTGAAGAAAACTGAAGCAAAAGGGAACCATCTGCACATCAGTCTTACCTTAATTTTAGAGTTAGGTATCAGATAGCACTGTGAGAGAGCTTCATTCAAGCTTAAAAGATAAGTTAGTCCATCTGTCACTGCCTCACCTACTTTTTTATGTGAGTAGGTGTGAATTAATTGCATCCAAAAAATAATGCTAAACTAAAGCTCAAACATCTGGGAGCTAGCAAGATTTTTTATTTTTATTTTGTTAACTGCCAAAAATAAAGTTTAAAACCAAATCTCTGGATGTAAAAGTCCAGTTGAATGAGCCCTAACTTACTATGTCCCCTACTTGGAAAGATTTTTGAAGTGAATACTCACTAGCAGAACGTGTGATTTGGTTTCCACATATGATCAGAAGTTAGATTTCTGGGTATTATCATAGTTGAATATTAGAAACCATTCTAGAGCAGTATTTTGGATATCTTAATATTTAGAAACATTAAAAATATTCTTGTTGCCTTTAGCTATAACTGATTTGAAATGTATATTATTCTCTTTGATGATTTTGGCACTTCTGCTTTTCAAATGGGTTATTTTTCCTAGGAGAGTATCTGGCTGCTTTGATGGATTTCCATTCTTTATTTCCCATTCCTTTTTAAAATCTTTCTCTGCCTTCTTTGAGAACTTCATTATATTATTCCTCCTTATATTTCTGGGAGGTTCCCAACTTTTGCAGAGTACAGTAAATCTTACTTGGATTTTATACAGGAGTAATCCCGTGAGCATATGTAATCAGTCTCCTTTCCCAGGGTGGAAGTACTCTTGCTCTTTTCCAAACAATTGTTGGGTGACACAAGACTGCTCAAAACAATCTTTCACTTTGACCATATTTGATTAAAGCTGAAGCTTTTTAGATGGGTAAGAAAAAATTATTATAACAATATACAGGTATTTTTTCATATTTTTAATGGAGACTTTGTACTTATGTTTTTCCTTCTTTCTAAGAAGGAGGATGCTTCTTTCTCCTTCTGTACTGCTCCTTTTTTTTCCTCTCTTTTTATGGGATCTGGTTCTTTTTCTGTGTTTCCTGGTTTGCCTGGCATTTCATATTTGTATTTCTTAGTCCCCCTACTAGCCTTATTTTTGTGGTGGAGCTTTTTCTGCCCTCCCAGCCTTAAATTTTTTTTTTTTTTTAATTTTTTTTTTTGACAATGCAGTTCTAATACTCAGCTTGTTGCAGAGCCTGCCCAGTACTTAGAGAAGACGAATGCTCTTTTTACCTTTGTTTTCCCATGTCTGGAATTAACATAATAGTTAACATTGAAATTAAGAGAGACCAGTCACACAGTGGTATATATGAAAGTTTTATGGGCAAGTGCTTTATTGCTAATTGTCTTTAAATAGTCTCCTGTAATAGTCAGATCCTATGAATCTCTGGAGTGTAAAGTGTCTTCTGGCAGAGGTTTTTATTAATCTGATCAGATAGAATTAAATCTGTTCTTTTTTAGCATTCATATAAAACATCTTCCAGGTATTGTGTAACTTCTTCAATTTAAACGTTGCAGAATCGACCGCAGGAGTTCCTAGTTGCAGTACTAGCTTCTGCTGGTTCTTTGCAAGTTACCTTTTTACAAAGAGAGATGATCGTGTTATTCCCTTGTTTGGAAAACTTAGTAGTAGAATATTTACTCAGCTACCAATTTCAGCAAGGATCACTTAATAGAAAGCCCAAACTGTACTCCTGCCAAGCTTCCACAACATCATTGAGGTGTTGATAGCTGAAGAAACAGAATCACACAGAATGGCTGAGATTGGAAGGGGCTCTGGAGGTTGTCTGGTCCAACCCCTCAGCTCAAGCAGGGACACCCAGAGCAGTTTCCCCAGGACCATGACCTGGCTATTGAATATCTCCAAGGAGGAGAGCTCCACAGCCTCCTTGGGCAACCAGTGGCAGTGCTCAGTCACCCTCACAAAAGAGTGTCTCCTGATGGTCAGAGGGAACCTTCAGTATTTCAGATTGTGCCTGCTGCCTCTGCTGCTGTCACTGGGCACCACTGGAAAGAACCTGGCTCCATCCTCTTTGCACCACCCCTTCAGGTATTTATATACATTGATGGGATTCCCCCTGAGCCTTCTCATCTCCAGGCTGAACAGTCCCAGCTCTCTTAACCTTTCCTCAGTAGAGATGCCCCAGTCCCTTCATCATCCTCTTGGCCTTTTGCTGGAAACTCCAATATGTCCATGTCTCTCTTGTACTGGAGAGCCCGGGACTGGACACAGTGCTGAGGGACAGGATCACCTCTCTCCACCTGCTGGCAACTCTCCTAATGCAGCCCAGGATACTATTTGCTTTCTTTGCTGCAAGGGCACATTGGTGACTCATGTCCAACCTTGTATCCACCAGGACCCCCAAGACCTACTCTGCCAAGCTGCTTTCCAGCTGGGTGGCTGCCAGCACGTACTGGTGCATGAGGTTGTTCCTCTCCAGGTGAAGAACTTTGCACTTCCCCCTGATGGAACTGCATGAGATTCCCATCAGCACATTTCTTCAGCCTGTTGAGGTCCCTCTGGATGGCAGCATGATGCTCTGGTGTCATCAGCCACTCTTCCCAGCTTTGTGTCGTCAGCAGACTTGCGGAGAGTCCACTCTGCCCCATCATCCAGATTGTTAATGAAGATGTTGAACAGAACTGGACCCAGTACTGACCCCTGGGGCATACCGGTAGTTACTGGCCTCCAACTAGACTTCCTGCCCCTGATCACCACCCTCTTGGCTCAGTTGCTCAGCTGATTTTCAGTCCACCTCACTGTTTGCTCATCCCATACTTTGTTAGCTCATTTTAATAGTTTCTTTGATTCTTCTTTTTATTTAATTTCTATTCTGTTTATAATTTTTTTAATTTGAATTTTCTGAAGCTTCACGAGAGCAAGTCTTGGCTCGCCAGTGCTGGGAAAATCAGGGTGAATTCCCTCTTATCCTTGGTAAATTCAAGAGTTAGAATTGGTTCCTTGCACAAATTACAATGATCTGGCCTCTACTGGCTCATAATGGCTCATTATTCCAGTACCTCCTGTGGCAGATGGAAGTTTAAGACTTTATAGCTCCAGATAAATTACACTGTATTTAACAACCTCTCATCCAGAGTAATCTGCAACTTGTGTCCTGTTAACTTTCAGGAATCAATTCAGTTCTCTGCTCTACTTTATTTGTTGTCTCATTACATGCTTCAAGATTTTATCCTTTCTTATCTCCAATTTGTCTTTTTAGTTACATGGTCTTTAGTTGTATGGAGATCAGCAATATCTTGATTTAAGATCCTTAACACAGTGGGAAAGATCTCATTTAGGATATGTAGACACGAATGTCCATCAAGCATTGCCCCACACAGATTGAGGCTAAATAGTTTGAGATTTTAACAATGACAAATAAATTCAGTCTTACTTTGTAGCAATAGACTTGATAAAACAAGAGGTGATGGAATCACTTAGGTTATTTAATCCAATTTCCCTCAATTCTTGGGAAGAATCAATAAGTTATAATTAATGTAGAAACTTCTTAGTGCTCAAGGCAAAGATCCTCAAGACAGCAGCATGTGATAGGAAGACAGCAGGGAAGAGATCGTAACATATGGTACCTCATAACAGCAGTGAATCCTAAGTGGAAGTGTTGAATCCCAAGTGGAAATAGAACCACAATGCTGGAACATATCCCAAACAGAGAATGCAAAACATCTCCAGACGTTCATGCTGATTTGTCCTGGGGTAGATTCAATCCTTATTCCAGGTAAAGCTTAAGGCAGTGTGAGAGAACAAGACCCACTGATGGCACTAGGAGCACTACCTAAAGCCAAATCCAATATTTCTGAGAAAAATCAATCTACCTCCCCATACTCCAGTTGGCCATCCAAGGCAATTGGCAGAAACGTTGAAGTTCAAAAAACACAATACTTAAATTTTTCAGTATGTGTGAAAGAATAAAATGTATACTTAAAACTGAAGTTAGTTTATTAATTTATGGAAGTATCTATATACAACTCTTTATTTTTATCTTCCATTAATTTTAAGTAAACAAAAAACCCACCATATTGAAGTGGACTTTTTAGAATATTGATTCTGATTTGTATTTCAAATTTACTAAGTTTGGTGCTCGTTTTGTGTTTTCAAGGCTGCTGACTTGGCGACCAGTCAGTGGAGAGTTTAGCTCTGGGTCTCCCTCTGATGCAAAAGAAAAACTGGTAAGCTGCTGAAATAAGAAATATTTTAAAAGCTTGCAAGAGTTTGGTACAAATGTGTTGTGATGTAAAGTGAAAAGTGTACTTAGTTTAAACCCATTTTTCAATTTTGATTTATTTGAAAACATTTTTTTCCAGATAAAGTGCTATTTATTGCTTAAAAATGGCAAGGAATTCATTGAGAAAAAGTATGTGTTTGTTTGCAGCAAAGTTGGCTTCCAGAAGTTGGCTGTAGGTCATTATCTGTGTATGTCTTAAGTGATGTTCTGTGTCTGTAGGTCTCTGTCATACTGTATTTAGGGTTTGAGTTGTTTTCTGGTTTGGGATGTGGTTTTTGTTCCAATTTGCTCAATATTCTCTTTGAAACATTGGCATGATGAGAAAATGATGATGGTGGAAAGACTGCCAGTTAGATTTTTTTTTTTTCTTTTTCTTAGACTTTTTTTTCTTTCAAGTTTTCTTTGGTAATAAGAACTTAAACATCAGTGTTTAAAATAGAAAATATATAGAACCATCAGATTTCTTAGTCCTGATTGAATAAACTGATGTAAAATTTGGATTTGCCTACATGCGGCAGCCTTGTAGCTACTTTACTACTGATGAGAATTAGTTTAGCTTTTGACTTTCTCACAAGATTGCTGCAGGAAGTTCTTTTTGGATTAATGAAGCACTTGGTAAAACAAGTTCAAGGATATGGTCCCAAATGAGTTCTACTAAGGGAGACAAGCTCCCCTCATTGATCTTTACCGAGTGTTAACATAATTTACTTACAACAGAGTGTAAATGTTTGTGATGAACAGTTCTCGCTGTACAGGTATTTTACACCTGTGTGAATGAATGTACTTGCTGTATCTTGACTCGTTTGTAGTGGTTTGAGGTACAAAATGTTTAATCTAAACGTTAACTACGTTTTTGATTCATTTATGTCAAATATAATAGCATGCAAAAATGGCAAATACATTAAATGTCTTAGTCATGAATAAATTGAAAGGTCTGTTCTCTTTCAAATAGTTTAATATTTTCAAAACTTTTCTGTCTTCAGTGTAAGAAGACACTTTACAAGTTAAACATTAACAGAACTTGTATAATAAATAGTGTTAAACGAGATATATTTTTGGATCCTTTCTTTTGGTAGAATAGAATTTTTGTAGTCTTTAGATACTTCCATCTTAATTTTTCTTCAGGTGGTTCAAATAAAATGAAGCATTCTACTATCTATAGACATAATATCTATTAAAAGTATATGTATACTTAATAGATATTAGAACCTTGGTTATTTACTGGTGTGAGAAGTTGATACGTTCTTTGTAGGAACTGTATGTCTAGATTTAAATCTTGCTAACAACACAGTGCAGGGAATTAATGTGTAGTCTCCAGTGGCACTTCAGGAATAGAAATATTTGGTTACTGAAAGGGACAGTAATTGCTGTATGTAACTGCTTTGCAATTAATGGTAACATACTTCGGTTTTAAGTAGGTCTCCCTCTTTCAATGAATGCTCTCTGAAATCAAAACAAGAGGTATTACCATTGATTTTAATACTTTCTATTCAACTGATCAAGAAGGAAGATATTTATTAAAAAATAAAACTAAACAAACCCCCAACAATACCTCTTCCAAGGTTATTGAGTTCAAGCTCACAAGATAACACGATACAGCATGGAGAATCAGAACACACTGCAGAAGTCTGCTGAAGCAGCTCTCTGGCAAACAGATTTTAAATTAGAGCATTATCTTTATGTGCATATATTCTCCTCCTTCATCGTTTTACTGTGGTAAATTCCTGTACCACCTACAGACGTGTAATTAGGAGCTTATAGTTCAGAACATTCAAGGGAGTAAGAGCAAGTAAAGGTCAAAGTTTGATGATACCTAATATTGTTTGGACTTGTCATTTAAGAGCTGTGTGTTCACATTTTCACCTGTTACAAAAGGAATACAGGTTCTCACAGAAGCTGTTGGAGGTTTTTATCATAGATGAAGGTAGATACTATTTCCCAGTATTGGAACCTTGCAGCAAACCTCATACACTTAATCTGGTGAAAGTCAAACTACTTGTTGGCTGACATACTAAATGCTTGAATGGTATACAAAAAACCCATGTGCAAAATACTACTCATTGTCTTTGCTGTGTAATTTAAGTATTTGTTGCTTGTTAAATTTTCAGTTCTTTCTTAGTAGGTCATCTTTTTAGTACATCTTCCTTGATTGCTCATATCAAATATGACTAAAGTGTATGAAAAAGTGCAGTGTTGAAATAGCAAATGTCTTAAGCTAAGAAGAGCACGACACTATTGACAGCTCACAGAAGTTTTCTGTAAGTTAATGGTGGCTTCTTTGCTTTCTTTTCAGGATACAGTCTCACAGAAGTCAGTAGATATTCATGATTCTGTTCAGCCTAGATCTTCAGATGGACGTCCATATCAGCCCAGCACAGGGACTGCTGTAGGTGAAGAAATGAGTAAAACCAGGCCAACAGCAAGTGCGTGTTTTGTAGTGATTTGGCATTTTGTATCAGTTAAGAGTGGTATTTAGCAGGTGTTTGATATCTTTAGTTATAGCCCCAGCTATAACTTTAGAAACATGATGTGAAGAAAATTACATTGATTAAATTTTTGTCTTCATGTAATATGACAGAATTCTGTTGGACTCTTGTGTGCCCACATTTTTGACCTGTGCTTTAAAAATGTTCAAGTTCAACTGCTAACTTGCAGACTTTCTACCCAAAACCAAATACTAAAAATAGTACTCTCCTTACAATGCTATGTAAATTATGTTTTTTTATATAAGAGCTAAGTTCTTTCTGTGCAGAATGCAACAGAAGCAATAGCTGTAAAAGAAGTGTAAAAGAATACTGATTTGAAGAGAGTATATCAAGCCTTTGAGATACTTGTGCAAAGTTGTGTTGGTGCTTAGAATGCTCTTGTCTGGTGGTGGTGGTGCTTGCCCCAAGTACAAACAAGCATCAGTGATATCCGTGCTATCCTAAGCCTCCTTTGCCTGTGAACAGTCTCAGCCTCTGGTTCCTGCCATTGCACTGATAATAACAACAAGGTCACAAATTCTGGTGATTTTTAGGTAACACTGAATATTTGTCCAGTATATGGCAGGTGACTTTAGAGTTAGGAAACAGTTTTTTAAAACCTGCGATTTGTTAGCGTGGTGATCAGTCCAAAATTCAGATGGGTGGATTCCGGGTTTGATTTATCATTGTGCTTGAAGTTAAACTGTTCTTCAACTTACCCCCAAAATAGCTCAAAAAAGAAAAAAAAAAGTATTGCAGTTCCTAGTTAACAAGCAATTTTTTAATTCTTTCCTTTAAAGAATATCCAGAACAGAAGTTATTTGCTGCTCTTTTGATCAAATGTGTTGTACAACTGGAACTCATTCAGACTATCGACAATATTGTGTTCTTCCCAGCAACTAGCAAAAAAGAGGATGCAGAGAATCTAGCAGCAGCACAAGTGAGTAGAACTGATAGGTATCTCTCTTTTTAACAGCTTTTTCTCTAGTGGATAAGGTCTCATAAACTCCTGTAACATCTTATAATTTACAATTTTTAGAAGCAATTGAGAAGTTCCAACAGATCTTGTACAATTTGCGTTAAATTCCATTTGCTGTGCTGGGGCAGCACACTGTGGAGATTAAAACATGTATTGTTCAAAGGGATTTATTTAACTGGGATGTGGATACAACTTTTAATACCATTTTAAGTTGAAATACAAGTATAGATGAAAACAGGGTAGGGTTGAGTTATCACAGGAGCTTGCTGAACACATCTGTGAACTTGAAATCTCTTTTATTCTTTTTCTTTTTTTGTTAATAGAGAGATGCAGTAGACTTCGATGTCCACGTGGATACGCAAGATCAAGGGATGTATCGTTTTCTGACATCACAGCAGCTCTTTAAACTTCTCGATTGTCTGCTGGAATCTCACAGATTCGCTAAAGCGTTTAATTCAAACAATGAACAAAGAACTGCTCTCTGGAAAGCAGGTGAGTCAGTCACCTTGGAGAAATATTTTGTGAGAATGTGTTACTGTGCTTTGAATTGACCCAAAAATAGGTCAAAAGTACTTTGATGCTGAATGTGAAATTGAGTGTCAGGCTGTAACTTTATAACCCTAGAATCCCTCAGGGTAGGTGACCTCATCTGTGCAGGTGCACACATCTTTCTGATTTTCTAGAATTTAAGGTTTCACTGGGTTACAGCTGCCAAGCTGATCCCTGGCTGTAGGTGTCAGTCCCACGCTTGGAAGCTGCAGACACAAAACCCCAAAACTTCTTAGGGGGGTTGCTTTACCTAACAGGGTATAAGAGAAATACATGTCATTTTCTGAAAGAGATGGAAAGTGGGCTCTCTGTAGCATTGTGTTTAATCAATTCCTTGCACCAAAGTTAGCTATGTTAATGTATTTTAATGGTGAATGCATAGCGTGCATATGCAGCCAGCTGTTCTGTGCATTGAGGTATGCATACACAGAACCACTTCAGCTGGGGTGAGGTAGTGTTAGTATTTATGGATACGCTTTCTGCTCATATGGACCTCCGCTAGCAAACTGAATTTAATTATACAGGAACAGGCTTGGAAACAGTAGTATTACAGACATTTCTGTATAAAAAGAGCAGTAAACCAGTGTGCACTATTGATACATGATTGAGACAGAATGGTCCGTGGTTCAGGTGGTTAGAGGTACTTTTATCATACACCCAGGTTGCACATCTGCTTGGAAGCTCATGTAAAAATGTGTGTGGAAAACGATCCCGGTGTGTGGACCTAGGTTAATTTTTAGCAGCACTCCACTGTACTAACTGTCGTGAGAAATTAATTGTGTAGGGTGGTTCTTCTGTCTACATGCAGAAGATGCTCAGAGGGAGAAGTAGAGGACTGCAAGGAAAAGTGGCAGATGCAACAGAAATCTAAATGGATGCTTGGAATTTCTCTAGGTTTCAAAGGCAAATCAAAGCCTAATCTCCTGAAGCAGGAGACGAGTAGCCTTGCCTGTGGGCTGCGCATTCTGTTCCGTATGTACATGGATGAAAGCCGTACCAGTGCGTGGGAGGAAGTCCAGCAAAGACTACTAAAGTAAGGTCCACGTAGCTGAACCTGTTGATGTTATTTCTGATGTTAAATAATGTATTTTTGTTTAAAAGGATAGTCCTGATCTATTTGCAGTAAACTTCTGGAGCTAAGACAGTATAGGGGTGGTCACAGCTAATATTAAGAGTTTTCATGTTATGTGGAGAGTGCTCCAGTGCCTCCAGCTACTAATGCTGCCTCTGCTTTTTGCCCTCATTACATATTTTGCAGGAGAGAAAAAAGGTTTTGTCACTTTTCTTCTTTTTTTTTTTTTTGCATGTGGGTGGGTGGTGGATTGTTATTAGCTCCTCTTTTAAAAGAAAAGCATGTGCCACCTATACCCTATTTTTTTCTTTCAGTACCCTCAGATATTTTAGGGAACTGATGCTGTTTGGTCTCATTTGCACAAATGGGCACTTGGTTTGAGGAGCCTATGGGTGTACAGAGGCTTTGGCTTTTGGGTTATTCATTACTGTGAATACTAAGGTTTGCCTGAATGTTTTTAGTTTACAAAGCTGTTCAAACGAGTGTTGGAGTAACAGAGGCTTAAAATCATGGCACTAACACAGTGAAAGTATTTTAAGGTTTACAGACGAGGGACCAGAGCTTAAAACTACCTGGCTACATCAGGATGAGATTGATTTATTTAAAGTCTACGTATCATTTTGTCACATGTATTTACAGAGCACTTGATACGCTTCAAATGCATGCACAAAGAGTGCAATCATGTTTTGTCCACGTGTTTGATACTGAAGTCCTAGGACTTTGGTTTTGAGTTGAACAAAATCACTGTTTTCTATTACTAATCAGGCTTACAGGAGCTTTCATAAATCGCTGCTGTTCTACACCAGGGCTCTACACTGGTATAGTTGCAAAGCCAAAGCTCCCTCTCTGCAGTACAGCTCAAAATGAAATGCGAGTTACTAGTTCTTGTGTCTTTTCTCTCTAGTGTCTGCAGTGAGGCTCTGAGTTACTTCCTCACCCTTACATCAGAAAGTCATCGGGAAGCCTGGACTAATCTATTACTGTTATTTTTGACTAAAGTCCTGAAGATAAGTGATGAAAGGGTAAGTAGCTGTTTGGAATGCTATTTGGGACAACGTTTACAGCCAACAAGTAGTTATGGACGGGTTCTTCACACACACATATGTACTTGACTTTAAAAGCTCCTGCTGCTCCGTGGACAGTCTTTGTTGAGGGATTGAACATTGAAACTGCACTTGACAGATACTGAAGTAGTAACACAGAGTGAGGGTGCAGTGAGTGATAAAATGTGTCTGAGAAAATTTAAAAGACCCTAAAATCCTGTAGAAGTGTGTGTTAAGTTGCTTTTACCCCTCTCCTGCTGAGGAAGAGGCTTAGTGGCTAACACTTTATTTAAAGAAACAGCCCGTTTCTGCTTCCAGTGCTACATGTACCTCAGATCCTTGATCTTCTCCAAAGCAATTCTGCCGTATTATTTACTGCATATTTAGATCGCCGTCTCTGTCTAACAAAGCTTGGCTGAAATGTTAAGTGAAAGGTGCAAGCTACAACAAAAAACTGGTAATAAAAAAGTCTGCCTCTTGAAGAATAAGCGTTGGCAAGGAGCTGTGTGTAGCTAGTGAGTATCTGTCAGAGTACATCACAGCTGTCTTGGCCTCATTCTAGCACTGCTGGCTTCCATTATAAAGAATATTTCTGCTTGTCGCTTTGTGGGTTTCTCACCTTGACTTGTTGGGAGAGTATTTAAAGTTCAGTTGCAATGTGTTTTCTGAGATGTATTGATACATAACAGAATAAATTCTTCTGTTTGTTTTCTCCTCAGTTCAAGGCTCATGCCTCTTTCTACTATCCTCTGTTGTGTGAAATTATGCAGTTTGACCTTATTCCTGAACTTCGAGCTGTTCTACGAAGGTTTTTCCTGCGGATTGGTGTGGTTTTCCAAATATCCCAACCACCAGAACAAGAGTCTGGAATAAGCAAGCAGTAGCAGATAGTGACTGAGTATTGCTCTGCGTAGAAGTTTCTATTCCTCAGCTAAATAAACGGACGAGGTAGCTGAGCCATTCTGTCTGGATATCCATAAAAATGGTTTCTTTGTATGGCAACGTCTATCCAAGGGTTAACGGTACAGATGCTTACAACTGTAATTAAGGCTTGCAACACTCCAGTCCCTTTATTTCCTGGTGGATTGTCTCTATGGGCTTCTCTTACCTGGCTCATGCTGAGCACAGAGCCAGTTTTTAGCACAGTCCTCTTGTCAGCGTGGGCTGCAATATCCTTTACTGTCCTAGACAGCAGTATAGCAACAGATGTTTATGGCGGGTGTGAAAGTAAAATGTACCCAAAGAACTATATATGTAAAGGTTTGAGCTTCTGCAAGAAGTACAACTCAGGAGAGCTGTATTTTGAAGGATAAAATGTTTATAGTGAAAAGAAATGGAGATTATTGTTCATGGTAAAAGATATTTAGCAACTATGTCTGATATTCTTATTCTAAGATTTTTGCACACTCAGGCTGTCTGAGACATTGGTAATCATCCTTCTGTGAAAAATGTACAGAGATGCAGGTCTGTAATATAAACTCTTTAACACTATACAGTTCTTCCTGAATTGTTTTATTTCTGTTTTATTATTGATTTGCTGAAAACCCATAACACTTCATTGTTTACCGAATGCACTAGAAGTTTGGGTTTATTTTCTCTTGGGTTGTGATTCTCTTTTCTTTTTCTTTCTATCCCCCCCCCTTTTTTTTTTTCTCCTGGTTTTGCTGTAGTCCAGAGTTAGTGTTGCTGACTTTTGTCAAGAACAGAATTAGAAATATCACGACTGACGTACCTACCTGTAATATACTTGTTTTAGGGCTTTTAAATAAAACGAGCCATTGAAATGATGATCCTTCAAGGACTGGAACTTGAATCACTGCAAACAAGTCTAGGTTGTGTCTGCTGTCAGATGTTTTTTGTTTGATGTAGATTTCACTCTTATGTACAGAATTTAATGTTGAATATATTCAAGTAACAAATCTGGCATGGTTTGGGGATGGTTAAATTTATTGGAAATGTATTCATACTGTGAATTGTGCTCTGATGGTTAAAAGACAAGATCGTCAACATTCTGTATTACAATGGATGTAGAAATTTTTTTCAGATGGACAAAATGTATATGGTACAGATATGTAAAGTTTTCTATGTAAAAAAAATTCTGTACAACTTTCTGTACAATATTTGGTTCTCATCTGGCATATTCTAATCAGGTTATAGGTCAATAAAGTTTTTGAACTCTTTCATTAGTGCAATCAAAACCGGTCTAATCCACAGCTACTTGTTTTAGTTTCCATTGCCCCTCATGCTCTCATTTCAAAGGAGTTACCCCAGCCCTCTGGGGGCAGAAAGGGGGGTGCCCTGTGAGGGGCTAGGATGTGTCTTCTCACTGTTGAGCAAATCCGTTTTGCTTTGTGGGAATCGGAATATTAATGAACCATGCTGTGGAATAAGGGTGGATGGAAGGGAAGGGCTGGGATTACAGTTACTTGCCTGCTGCCTCAGAATGCACCGGCCAGCTCAGCCGTGCCAGTGTGTTTGGTTTTGCAAGAAGAAGTGGAATTGTATGGTTCTGCAGCGTGTTCTCACAAAACTCATGACTAGCAAAGGAGAGAAGCGTGAAAACTGAGAAGGTGGATGAGGGAGGCTCATCTCACAGAGGAAGGAATCTCCCTGTAGCTGTTCACAGCAGGCGCCAAAAATAAGCGTAAGCAGTTCAAGGAAATAGTTATGGAAAAGCCAGTGAAGGGAATTAAAAGGTGTGACCTGGGAGTAGGAGTTTTCTCATAATGTTAATTGGGGTGGGGCAAAACCAAACCTGCATTTGTCAAAGTCATAAGGGAGGGAATTGAGGTTGTTTTAATTAATTGGAATTGCACAGCCCTTTCTCTTAGGCTGTATTTTATTTTTTGTTTGGTGTGCAGTGTTTAAATTTTAAACCAAGGCCAGACCTGAGGTGACTATATCACAAAGTTCAACTTGTGAAGCAACTGGAAAGAGTCATCAGGCATCAAAAACAAGGGGGAGGCTGGCAGGTTACAGACACAGTGTGGAATACAGAAGGTGGGTTTCAGCACGAGAGGCTCTGTGGTAGGGTGACCACTCTTATAAATCAATTTTACCATAGCTGCTTAAAATTACTCTGGGATTCCTGCCTCTGGGAACTTCTGAATCAAGCAGCCATGA